AAGGAATGGGTTCAAATCGTAGAATGCTTTTTTGTTTTCAGCATCATGAGCAATTCATTAAGCGAAACGCGAGAAGGAAATAGGGTAACGAGTGAAGTAATGAATGGTGAAAACTAGAAGGTGCAAACGATGACGAAGTACAAATACTCAACGCTTGAGGTGAAGATGAAGTAAGAAATAATGAATTTAGTGCAGTTTTTTCTAAACCATGCATTTCATTGGGCACAGTGCGACAACTTAAAATCTCATCCCAAAGCTCTTGAATTTAAAAACATCCGTACTATTAATGTGATAAGTACCAGTTAGACGCCCATTGGTGTCGTGGTTAGTTTGGGTGCGATCCGGCTGGTGTTGTTGGTTGTTGTCAGTTTGTGATTCCTCTTCGTGTTGACGTAAGGCGGCCAGAAAATACTCTGAAGGAAATCACGAAAATCAGTGCACTGAACCAATAGTATTCTCAGGCAGTACCCGAGATCTGAAATTATGACATGAAATAGAAGTTCTTGTATGCCGAAGCCCCTGGTAGGTATAGAGAGTTCCGTTTTTCGCATTCTCCGGATGTTGTTGTGAAAAACTTGCAAAAAGTGAAATGAGGAACACTAAGTTAGTCGTGCTTCGACATTAGTAATACCTCCTGATTTTTTATGGCACAAGCACAATTAGTTGCAAATAAAAGCACACGAAAAATCATTCAGCCTCGACTTCTTAATGTGATATCAACTGAACTTCAAGAAAGTTGGATTGAACCAAATCAACCAAGTATGTTCCCTTCAGTTAGGAGCTTCGGCAAGATCGCAGCTGTTTCATTATCTTTTTCATATTTTTATTTTTTCATATTATTTTTTTTTATCTTAAACAACGTATCAAGTTTCATGTGATTCTATGTCTTGACAAAAAAAGAGAGGTAACCTTAGAGGTTACCGATCCGAGCGCGTTGAGAATGGCTTGATGAACGTAGAGTTCTCAAATAGGTTTTACTAGACTGAGAAGCTGCCCAGTGCTTTCATCTCGAAGCCCAGCTAACAGTAAACTGATGGCAGATATTGCCACGATCGAGCAGAAAATTCAGCGAAATGCGGCAAACCTCTTCCAGTTCCACAAAAATCAACTGCAGTTCAATTTCACTATATGGGAACGCCTCTTAATCTAAAAAATTTGGATGACATTTACCTAACAGCAAATCTTCAGTTCAATAGAAACTGATCGCGAGCTGCGCGTCCCCTCACGATGGACCACACAAGTATGCAAGAAATCCGCGAAACAACTGAGGATCTCTAATGAATATTTACTGGAGCCGATTTTGATCTTCACTCCTCGAGGTTTGAAAAAAAAACGTTATTATTCTTTCGCGTTTCTCGGTTTTGTTGGCATAGTACTTTTTTAAATAACCCTACATCAGACACAGTGCTGATCATAAGGCTTTTTTCACCTATTTAGATTTCCCGCATCCGCTATCCATGAAGACCATCGAGCATTGCGCGTTTGGATTCTACTGCTACTTGACGATTTTCGTTTTGATCCTTCCTTCAATCTTGAGATAGCAGTGCTACAGCGATTCCACATGGACTGGAGGTAGTTAGGTGAGCCCAGATAAGTCTCCCACCAATTTTCCGACCACAGACTACCGAGAGGCTTGGTGGGACCGACAAGGTCGAACCAATGCCTTTCTCGTAGTGAACGACATTACTACCACTGCGCTGTGCGCCAAATTGTGATGCCATTATTTTCGCCAAACCTGCTACGAAGATTCTCAATTATCATGTAGCAAAGAAGAAACTGCAAAAAATCTGAGAACACAGCGACATAGAACAGATTTTAAGAAAGTCCGCGAATCCTCAATACGGCCATGCTTTTTTCACAAAACGTGCAGGAGGATAGCAAAACATGATGACTTAATCATCTTACAACCAACCTCTATACGGGTCACTTCTCCGTTTATTACACTAATCGCACATGCGACAAACAGATGCGGGTATCAAAAACCACACGTCTACCGATTCCCAGGAAATGAAAACTTGAAGAAGTTCAGCAGAAACAGCGGAATTGCCCAGAAAGAATCTGTGACGAATTGATTTTCGCGGAGCAACTTGAAAATTGCAACACTTTTAAGGAGTTCACGTAAACAAAGTTTTAGACCACTTAAGAATAGCAACAGACCATTTAACTGCTACCTTTGACAGTTCAAGTACTATGAAACGAGCAATAAGACAGCAATAACCACAATACCACAATAATGCTGAGATATCTATAAAACTCTGGACCATAAGTGCTTGCAGTAAGGGCCGAACACATTATTACCTTTTCCAAGCGCTAATGTGTTATCAGAGTCTTTCACTTCGTCTTTTTCTCAGCCGCATTTTAATCTATAGGTGCTATTAGCAATCACTCGTTAACGGAATTGATCTGGGGAGCATAAATCGGCATTGAACCCACTTAAGCTGAAGCTGCACTATAAATCACAGTGTAGCACTTTTATTTACCACCTATAGTTTTTTCATGGCAGAGTGTAATTTGAAGCATAACCACAATGATGCTGAGATATTTCCAAAGCTCGGGCACTACATTATGATTTATACCAGACCTTCAGCTTAACTGGGTTCAATGCAGATTTGTGCTCCCCAGATCAATCCTGTTGACGGGTGATTGTTGATAGCACTTATAGGCGGTGAAAAGATGTCGAAAAGAAAGAACCGCTTGGTGTGGCGGTGAACGCGTCAGCACTGGTAAGGGTAATAGGGGATTCGATCCCCACCGCAGACTCCTACGGTCCGGAGCTTTCCAAATTTCTCAGCATCACTGTCGCTGTATATCACATCACACTCTGCTATGATAAAAGACTAGGCAGTAAATGAAAAAGACTACATTATAAAATAGTCAATTTCTACACGAGTGGTGCTTGTTTGCAATTTGTTTTAATCATATCACAGCATGCATACGCAAGCAGCGATCATTTGAAAGAGAAGTAAAGGCGAAAAGGGAACACGAGTATTTGATAGAGGTAGTGCCTTAACTCGACTACACTTTACAAGGAAAAGAAAAAATGGAATAAAAAGAAGAAAGAAGGAAAGAAAGTTGAGAATTGAAAAACTGCATCAAGAGCTCTAAAGATGGCATTACACGGAAACAGAGAAAACTTAATACCCACACGCTACTAAGTTAGCACACAGTTTCTTTTTAAGACCGAAACAGAAACCAACACTTTCATTTCCCTTATCGAAAGAGTTTATTGATTGCACTATTTGCAAAAGACACCATGTTAAAGCAGCGGGACCACGTCAGTGACCAAGCCAGTTAAAGCTTGACTTGTCACAGACCATCAGTGAAAATTCGAGGCTGTATGAAGTGGCAGTTTTAAAAGGTCGCAGAAATTCGATACATACTGACCGCATTTCAACTCGTCAGATCCGTCCGTGCAGTCGTATTTTCTGTCGCAGTAGTTCTCCTGTAACAATGACACTGCGGTGATGATCGGTGGTTAGGCACTCGTCGCCCGAAAACTCTGAGGTCTAGGCCTACCTTAGCCGTGCATTCTCCGTTCTCACACTGGTATTCTTCAGCGCCACACTGCGAAATCGATCGTTTCCCTGTTCCTGAACAAAATCAGATTCCAGTTGGAAGCAGTTGCGATACGATAGAAGGGTCAGTTCAGCAAAACTATTCACAGTGCGCTCATTCGGTTAAAATGAAAACCATCCTTTCATAGATTCACAAACTGAAAATGTGTCTCTGGTTGCTCGATTATTCTGTTTGAACTCTTTAACATATTCGTAACGAAGCTGGCTTTTTGACAACAGATCACAGTTCTGATAACTAACTCGTAACTTGACTTGCCAATAACTTCCCAACCTCGTATAAGTTTACCAAAGAAAGGATACATATTGAATTGTCATATCGAGGTCGGTCTTGAATTATTATAGGGAATAAGTTCTCGATCATTCAGGAGCTCAGAATTTTAGAGAAACACAGAGCAAACCTCGCTCTATCGTATTGCTTGAACATATGATTTTTACACCGTCTGTTTTTAAATGTGTATCAAATTAAAACCCTGAAAAAATTGAGCATGAAATTTGTGTTCTTGAATATCCCAGCATAAAATTGACATCCACAAACTTAAATGCACAGGGAACGCCATCCTGTCATACTAGACGGTATCCCACTTGTTCGACCGTCTTGTGTTCAAAATGCGGCCTCGATGGAAAAAAACGGAAAGGGTAGGTTTCGTATGGATCCTTTCTGGATCCTGCCGTAGCAAAAGAAGGAAATTTCCAGCTTGTAGGCAGGATTCACGTATTTTCTACTAGAAAGCCCATTACAGGGCGAAATATATTGCTTTTAAATTTGAAGCGGCCGTTATTTTGGAACCTTCGCGTTTAAATCAATGCACTTCGTTGCAAAGATGATAATCCTATTTTAGATGGTTAGACGTTTTTGAATGAAAGAAGGCAGCACTTATTCCCTATGACTGTTTTCTCACCAGGCTCCGGACGTTTCTCATAATGAATGGAACAGCGTTTGTTTGAACGTTCATGATATTGATTAGCAATCAGTTATGCCAAGAACCGACTGTAGCTATATGAACATGAGAAGTTCAAACATCTACAATCTGACTTATATCCTCTTTCCCATAACTCATTTACTTTAGAAAATCGATTTCTTTGCTGTTTTCACCAGCAATTTGACATGTTATTGATTTTCCGACGAAAAACTTCACCGCGTCCGCAAGGTTGTTAGATGACGATTCATTATTGTCGTAAGAGAAATGCCCATTCAAGATCGGTTCCGTATGTCGAATTAATCAAGTGCACGGATCTCCATTTTTCTCGAAAATTTGATTGAATCTGTTATTGTGTGCACTGTACAAGAAGGTAACGCGTTGTGTCCTACGCTCTTTGAGAGGAACGCCTCTGTGCTCTTTCAGATTTCACTTTCACGTCGAGCGTCCGATCGCTACGACCCAATTCCTCTTCTGGTCGACGTTTCAAATCATTATTCGACCGGGCATGGGCACCTTCAGCCAAACAACCAGGGTCACATTCTCTTATCCGGCACTACCTGAAATTAAACTCTGCTATGCCGTGGTGTCTGCCTCTATGATCTACGGCCTGAATTGCATATGGCAGGCTAGTCGAAACTTCGAATGGGGTGTGGGCGACCATGGAGTGTACAGCTCTTTACCATTCTATGGATCCGCTATTAAAGTGGGTTAGCTTAAATGATCTATAAGAATATTTTAAATATGAATTTTCGGAGCCCTTCTATCTCCAAAGAGATCTTACTATAGAAAATTGATATAGCACGATAGGTTAAGAGCCAATGTTCAGTCAAAGGTTACTGAGGGCTAAATCTTTGGTAAAGAGATAAACTGAGCATAGAACCAAATTTTAAATTTATCTTTTAGTGACATAGGAATTCATTATTTAAGACTTATCTTTCCAATGATGTTATTCTGATCTTAAATGTTGAGAAAGCACAAAGTCGAACATTGGTAGATTTTTCACAACTTATTTTTTGATTCGTTCACATTCACGTGAAACGTCAGTAGATGCAACAAGTAGGTGAAGTGCTGTCCATAGAGCTCTTCCATGTAATTTTGAGATCGTTGCAGGATCACACGAATTGGGAATGGATGAATTGGTCTCCGTTCGCACTGCACTACCTACCGCTCTTAATTGCACATTCCCTACTGTTCAATCTGGGATCTAAGCTGATGGCAGAAACTCCATTCGTCGTGACCTACACCCTACTAAGTATCGCTGCGTGCGTCTACTATTTCACGCCGCTTCTCGTTGTCATTTCGCTCACGCAAGGCACACTGATGTTTCTGGTGTGTAATTACTTCAGGTCAGTTGTTTTTGTGCATAACAATAAGCGACTGAATGTTGCAGGTTTTTCCCATGATAAACAGCTGCCTGTTTCGACAGTAAAACACCTCTACAAGCCCTCCTATATCCTACACATCCATTCGCTCTACTTGTCGTTCACACATCCTCGTTCTGACTGCCAAACATTTTGAATTCTTCTTTTCAGAAGCAAGACGTTGGTCTGGATCTCATCACTGCCCCTTCTCTACTATTCAATGCACAAAACACTGGATATCACTGATAATCCTTTTCATGTATTCACGTTTGTATCCTACACTATGCTCAGCTATGTGTCGTATTGTATGGATACGAGAAACGGAGTAGCTAGAGAGCAGGATGATTCTTTAGCTAAAAAATATTTGCGAATGTTGTTCTACACATTCTATCAACCGTACCTATTCTCCTTGATCGTGCTATACAAGGATTTCGAGCGGCAGATTGCAGAAAGAAGCACACGACCCAGGAACTGGCGACACAGTGTGCTTTTGGCGATAAGAATTGCCTTTTGGTGGACGCTTTATGAGGTTTCATTACATTTCATTTACGTCGAAGCACTGCTTAAGAACGCACGGTACGCGGGCAGTCTACCAAAGGACCAATTTTTTTCGTTGGCACCAGCACTTGGTGAGTATTGAACTGGTTTCGAAATTGTTTTTATTTCTCACAGTTATGGAACTTGGAGAGCGAATAGATTTACTGCTCTATTTCGTTGCTAAACAATTTAAAAAAGAGCTTTGAGAGGTTTTTTCCTTAAGAAAAACGAAAAGGATTGCGTGACCTGTTTACATCGGTCATCAAGGGAATTGTCTTGCAGTACGTGTCGCTTCATGAAAACTGGAGTCATTGATTTGGAACTGTTTCGCACTTTCAAAGCATAACAAATGACATAAAAGATGGATATCTTAACCAGGGCCTAAGCGCTAATCGCTGATGTTAGGTGTTTCAGGAATGCTCTTCCAAATGAAATATGTTGTCATTTTCGGTTTACCAACTGTGTTTGCTCGATTCGACAATATGGATCCACAAAAAGGACCGATTTGCATCACTCGAGTGACGCTGTTTTCCAAGGTAAAAATCATAATGATGCAGTCGTTAGAAGTATAGCTCTCAGAATGCATCTCTACTTTGTTCTCCTTGCTCAACGACCATGTAATATGGTATGAGATATAAGAAAAAATAACTCAAAACATCATTAAGTAGTGCGGAGCAAAAGATCTACTTCTTTCATTGAGTTATTTTGCTGCTGACGTTTCGCTCTGCTCTGCACCAATGCTTCCCAGGTAGCGTGCTCCACCAGATTACCATCATAAGAGTTACATATGTGCATATGTGGTAATGATTTCTGTGCTGCAGTCATAAGAACGCGATCAAGGCAGGATAATCCTAGGGACGAGGATCATCTTGAGGAGATCGCAGCCAAAGCGTGAAGAACCCGTGTAGTGATCCACGCCCATTGTAACGCTTCTCTCCATGACGTATGGAGCTTTTTCTGGAGCACTATGATAGAAGTCCATAAAAGAAAGCAGCCTTCGAATTAGGTAGAACAGTCTTCACTTCGCCGGGTGATACAAGTTCCTCGTTTATTGAACATTTCGTAGTATTTGGTACCATTTCAGGAGAACTACTGTGCACATATTTTTTGGCTAACAATATTCTTGAGGTTATGGTAAACTGCCTATGAGAAAAATTCTTAATGCGCAGATTATTTGCTTTCAGGTGTGGCGTGAATTCGATCGTGGCCTCTACAAATTCTTCAGAGACTACATATTTGTTCCGATATGTCGGCCGACATTCTCACTGCAAAGAAAAGTATTCGGAGTGCTTGTCTCATACTCGTTCGTCCTTTTATGGCACGGCTTTTATCATCACAACATAGTGAGTTAGATGTGCACTAAACTAAGTGCGAACATCCAGAATCACCTATTGAACGTCGCAGCACAGTTCCCAAATGGCCACGTGGCGTTCCATTGCTTGTCGAATCTTTGAGTCGAGTTGTAACAGTTGTTCCTATATAATTTACGGTATTGTGATGCCGCTCTTAAGACTGTGACAATCGATAAATACGACCTTGACATTCAGAATCAGAGACCAAATGTTAATCTTATGATGAACATTCTGGTTGTTAGAAAAAAATATAGTTGAAACGAAGATAAAACAACTTAATGAAGCATTAGAGAAATTTTCCGTTACATTACAGTCAATGGCTACTTCTGGGCATTTCACGTACGTAATCATTCCCCATTTGTTCACGAAATAGGTTGCTCACTTGACTTCCTTTCTTTAGTTATTCCTTGGCCTGCATCTAGGTGTAAAGCAATGCGGTAATATTAAATTTAATCGCTTTTATGACGTAAATTCATGAGGCGCAGTGGGACAAATTTATTGGCCACAGCGCCAATTTCTCCACAAAGGATGATAATTTGTGGATAAATAGGGCACATGAATTGTATCGAACTCGACTCAGACTTGGTCCTGCTCTCATAGCTCAATTTTTAACGACACGATTCGTTTTAGAGCCAAATCTTTGAGAAATTAAAAAGGATTAAAAATTTTTCCAGAGTTGCCAGTAATACATAGATTCTAACCGCTATCGTTTCAACTAATGACCTTTAGTCTGAGCAGAGGTATATTTTCTGCTTACAGTTGAAAAGTTAGATCATTTTTGGTCACACATACGTATTGAGGTTAATACAGGATCTGGTTTACAAGTGCACCTCATGGGACTCAACGCATTTGAGAAAAGCGGCTTGAGAAAGAAAAGATAAAGGGAGAATTATAGCCTCAAATTGAATTGGATGGCAGGCTGTAGTGCTGAGGCTTCAAAGCACACCAAATACCGTTCAGGATAAGAAAAAAGATTTGATTACAGAATTTGAGTATCCTTCCTATATGCTCAGATTACGCCACCTGATTTTTAATGGTGAGACGCGGTATATCATATCTTCACTTCACGGCACCCACTGTGAATTGATTTAAGTTTACGTTGGTCTACTTGCCTTAGGAGTAAAAATCAAATGTTATAGGCCCGAGGGTAAAATTACAGGTCAGTGTACTTGCACTAAGGCTGTAACTGGTACCATTCTAACGAATATTTTCAACTGAATAGTAGTTATTAGGCTTTGGATAGAAAAATCTTAACGCATGCGACCAAAACGAAAAAATCTCTTCACGACTTAAATTGAAGATTTCAAGACAGAGGGGGATTAAAAGCGCTATGCTTTGATGATTTAGCGTTGAACTTAGTATTGCTTATTCAGGTGTGGATCATTCTAAACATCATCTCATTGGTGTTGGAGATGAGCGCCAAGTCAGTGTACTCATTCGAGGCATTCCGTATGTGGAGAGAGAAAACGTTCAGTGATGTGACATTCCGAAGAATTCTAGCCGCATTGCATATCTTGCCTTTTGCCTTTGGATTGTATTCGAATATATATTTCCTTGGAGGTTCCGAAGCAGGAGGGCTGTTTGTGAAACGCATGTTCGACGAGGAAACTGTGACATTAAGGTGGGTAACGCCTTTCACTGGGAACAAGTGAAGATGACCATAAAAAGTAACGGCTTGACTGTAGAGTGATCAGAAGAAATGTTGTGCTAGCATTATTACTACTACCATTATTAGTGCTTCTAATACTAATGGTCGGATGCGCCCTGCAACACACATGGAATCGATCCCTGCGCCCATGGCCCAACAAGCCTTCCATCCATCCGAGGTCGGCAAATTGGTACCAGACTTGTCTGGGAGAATAGCAGCACTAGTTCGATACATCGGTAGGCCACCGCGAGTCATTGTAAACACCAGATATGCATTCAATCACCTCCAACGATGATTAGTGAAGGAATGCATGGCGCATCGCTCAGGGATTGATCAACGCAGAGAATTTTATCCTTTATCTTTTTGATATTATTACTATTACACCTATATTCCGTCATAAGACGAAACGCTTTTATGAAATTCTCCATTATAAGCGCAATCAGAAAACAATATAACCATCAGATGCACTGAATAAAACATATTTATAATTGTTTCTCCAATATTCGAATCAAGTTCGCCAAAAAAATTAAGCGGACCGCAAAGTTTTCAGTAGGAATATTTTCTTGTGCCCCAAAAATTACGATTTTCAGATGGCCTTTCATTCTGCTTCTCGTGTTGGGTTACTTCTATTCCAACACTTGCATAGAAGTGGAACGGAAATTGGAACTTCGACGAAAAGAAGAAGAAGAATGCGCCTTAGAAAAGCAGGAATGATTTGAAAGATAATAGCTTTCATTTTTATTAATTCTGTTCAATATTTCTTTCTCCTTGGCTGATTCGGTGAAACAAAATCATTTGATGTATACCCTTCGTTCTGGCTCTTTATCTCTCATACAGCCGACAGGTTGGCAGTGTTTTTTTCTCGTTAATTTTGCTCTCAGTGAAAGTTTGTGTCAACAATAAAGTGCGGTTCAACTATCAAATAGAGAGTGAAACAATCATGTGTAACCATTATGAAGGATAAAAGAAGGCCTTCAGAGTTAGACAATCCCTAAGAGACGCTCAGTGCATTCCACATCATCAAGCATCGTTTTTGCGGTGATTGAGTGCATATTTATTTATCTTGCACAATGACGTGGGTGGCCTAACGAAGTACCACGTCAGTGTGTCTATCCTCGCAGAAAAGACTGGTAGCAGTTTTCCGACCCCGACAGGATAGACCTGGTGAGCCCGAGTGGCAGAATATAACCAACGACGTGTTCAGGACACCACTAACCACTGCACTACATGCGCTCCATGACAACGAAACAGGTAAGCAATTATCGACTGCCATTTAGGAATTAAAGTGACAGCTATGCTACCCAAATAATTATATTTCGAAGAGCTTTCAAAGAATTATGTTCCAACACATGCCGTAGATGGTTGGGCAAGCCCTTCACATGCACGACCCCACCTCGGAAGTAGTGGAATATGGATGCTCACTGGGTATATTTTAACTCCATCCGCATTTCTCTTACTCTACCGAGCGTCATGAGTGTAGGCGGCCAAGAAAAACAAATCACTAGCAAAAATCTGCGTTCTCATTTGCTATGTTGAAAATTACCAGGCAGCTTTCACTTTGCTGTCGTGTGATGCTTCTCCTCATTGTAAATACAATAAGATCAAAATCAGAAGTAAGCTAACTATGACGGATAAAACTCACTTCCGACGCGACAGCACAGTCCTTGCAAACAGTTGGTGCCTGTCGGGCATACCGAGTCTGACCAGCAGTAACTCGAGCCATGTCTGAATAGCTCATCTTTTATCAAACGAGGAATAATTCGGAAGAATTTCAATTTAAAAGAAAACAAAGCATTTAAAGGTCAATCGCTATCATTCCACCGGCTTTACTTTTCATAAAGTAACGATATTTACCAAGATGACTTCGATGGAATCAAAATAATGCTAATTTACCACAGTCGTCGACATCTTAGTCATCTGACCGTTCTCGTTCAGAGAATACAAAAGAACACGAGAAATAATTTGTGAGAGCAGGGATGAGACAGAAATAGCAAAGTTCACGATTCTTTTCGGTGGTGAGAAGAAAAACTGGTATGACATCGCAACGAAAGTGACGGTGAACTAAATTGGAAGGTTTAACAAATATAACCGTGAATAAAACACCACAATGTGGCGCCCCTTGCAATTGTTTTTTACTCAGGCAAAAACATTATCTTCTCCAGCGCTTCACTACACACCGGAATAGAATCCCTCAGCATCGTTTCTAATCCATAATCATTTCCCCATCTTCTTCTTTCTTCCCGAGTGACGCGTCGCAATTAGTTGAAAGTCGTGGGTCGAGATGGCAAACATTCGTGACCGCCTGTTGAAATGATCGATGGACAAACTATAACCGCACTGTTGCAGCATAACGTCCACACTGGGCGTATCCAAGAAGCAGCGCTTTGGATCCGAGTTAGCTCAAGAAATCTCGATCGACTTGTTATGGAGTGCCATGTTCAGTTCTATGAAATCCACACCGGCCTTTACACAAACACACAAGTAACCAAATATCGCAACACAGTTATTACTTTTTGAATTCTAGTTGTAAGCTCTATTGGCACAGGTTCTTAGAAATCCCAAAATAAGAGTGGCACGAGTATCTGGTTAGAAATGGAATCACCGCGCCAACCAAGAGCAGTTATGTTGATCTGACTAGTAAAAAGTGGAAAAATAACATCGCTTCATCTGAACGGTAGGAAACAGAGAATGAGGAAACGCTGATTTCGTGTATCAAACTCTTATGGAGAAAAGCGCAAACGTGGCCAGAAGTTAAAAGAACTCATGATTCCTGTGATGATAAGGCTTCTCGTCAGAAAAAACTCATAGTGGTCATGATAATAATAGGTCGAAAATGGAAGTTCAATCGCTACAGATTAGAATATTCTGGTGCAGCAGTAACACTGAAAGGCTGGACATTCCATTCGTGCCTCTAGTCACGAGGAAAATCAAATAGAAAAAGACGGAATTTGCTTGAGAATGGCAGAATGAGAATGACAAAAGAAGACCTAGCTTTAACATTGAGACGCACCATTGTTAGTGAGATAAAAGTGACAGAAAGGGGCACGACTGTGAAGCGTTCAATAAGAGGAACAGCAGTTAGGTGAATTTTTGTTGTTTGCGCTCTTCCGCTTTTTCAGCGCTGCTGTGATCCCCTCATGATTTTCTGCAGCAGCTACTTTCTATTGCTGCTACTTAGAAGAATCATTAACGTTGCTCAGGCAATTGTGAAAATAGTGACATTTAATACCGAACATAGAAAACAGTAGGCTGTTAACTAATTAGGAAAGGTTAATTGTATATAAAGGATAAAAGTAAAAAAATAACCTTTTATTTACTGCTAATTATTTTTTCATGGCCTGGTATTATGTGAAATACAACCACAATTATGCTGAAATATTCTGAAAGCTCAGATCCCGAGCCAGATTAGGACACGCGAATAGCCCATCCGGCTCACGTGTTCCCCACTGCAGCACTGTGGCCATAGTTTTGCCATTCTCAGAAATAGCACCCGATAAAAGATTATTATAACCTGCAATCCTAAAACATGTTCTTCCCTTAGTCCTTTATCTCAGTTCCATTACCCATCTCCGTGGGGCACGGTTGATCCATTCAAGTTTGAGGTCACACCTGTGCGCCACTCAAAACCTGGAAGGTATAGAGTTTGTACTCTACAACCCCTCACTCACCCCCTATAGTACTGGTGAATTGACAATACGTGCGAATCAATAAGTAGCTAAGATAGCGGTTCAACACCGCAACTTGAGCAGTTTCGATGAGTTAACCCTCCAACGGCTACTAAACCAACAATGAAAAACATATCACGGGTTAGTAAGACGTCAGCGAAAATCAACACGCTGACGTTGATCAAACACAATTGCAAAAAAGTGTCGCAGTCTACGTTAACTGTAAAGCTTGGCGGTACGTAAAGCGTAATCTCAAATTAAAAATAAGCACTGGAACATTGAAGCAGATACTTGACATAAGAATTGAACGCTAATCGACAAGGAATGAACCGATCGTTTTCTGTCATGAACTGAACAAATTAAACACACATTTGATAGGTAGTACTGCCATCAACTATTGATTCTGAGTATGAACAGAATAAAGAAAGTACTTTGTACACATGAATATTATGACAAATTCGCAAAACCGACTTTCTGTTAACGTAGGCAATTGATGTCATCGAATTTATTAGCACACAATAGCCAACGTCTCAGCGGTTTCGCCTTCTTCAGAGCCATTTTGCTCTTTGCATAATATAATACCAAGTTTGAGTTTGCTTATCGAAGAAAAACAGTGAATTATCATAACAAAGATCTCTGGATCCTAACGGGATTCTGTTCCAACAGAGAAAGCTGGCTGTAAGATGAGATATCATTGTTTAAAGTTCTATTACTAGCTACTCCTTGCGTCATGTCCTTTAAAACTATTTCAGGAATTTTTGAGATGATTACGGATAAAAAACTTGAAAGCACAGATGTAAGCTAAATAGGAGACGCCCAGAAGAAGTGTTTTGAAAAGAGCAGATTGGTTAGGCCTGAAGAAGTACTCGTTTGATCAGTTAATGACATCTTAGCACTCAAAATCAAATCAAGTATCAGAGGTGGAACGGAAACCTTAAAAGGACTCAGTCATGAGAACTGTGAGATGACGGCTTCCCGCAGCATTTTTATTGAGCACACAAAATTTGAAATCATTTGTAAGCGGCGGATGAATTTTGGCCAATAGAAATAATGCATTAACTGAAAAACTTTAGAGCTAATTTGAAAATCCTACCAAATAAACCGATTGTAAAGGAAAGCAAATCGAAAACTGGAGTACGAATGGAAAATGAAGGCTGCACTCACAAACTGTACATCGGAGCGGATCCGTCCTCGCATGTGACAGTCAGTCGAGAGTACTTCCTGTGACGATGAGTGCTGTGGTGGTGCCTTGACGGTTTCAGAGCCGAGCAGTGCTGCAACGAGGAACACTGGCCAACATTTTTTCTATCTTAGCGTTACAAAGCCGTATTTTGATAAAGATAAATATGACAACTTCGTTTTTTCCGCAAACGAGTAGCACGCATTGGTGATTTTTTTTCACGACTCTAAATTGTTTCTATGAAAGGCATATTTGTAGTAGAAATATTAAGGACAAAGCTCTCGGGGTTGGTCAATCTCCGAGGGATGCGCCGACCATTGGATTTAATCAAGCAACGTGGAGGCGACTGAGTTCATATCTGGCCTATAAAATGGTTTCGTGTGGCCTTTTGATGTATTGGGTCGGTCAGCTGCTATTCTCTCAGACAAGTCTGGTACCAACTTGCTAGCCCTGAGAGAAAAGGTCTTGGTGAGCCCGTGTGTGGTACAGAATCACGAAGGAATCTGGGTTTGATGTGCCTCTAACTAACTGCGGTTTTACAACCGGCCGCAATTCAAACTCACAATATATTAATCTGTTGAACTGGTTCGCCTTTAAACTGTTTAGAATCTTATTCTACTTCGTTCTTTAATTTCATTTCCTCGAAGAGTACTTTATTTTTACATCACAATGTAATATTTTACTTATTTTACACCTCATTTCTAATTTTTCTTCCCCTCTGGAGCACCCAAAGCGCTTCAAATCACTCGCTTCTTTATTGTTTGATTAGCACATGAAAGCCATTGTATAGGACAAGTACGAATTTAGTAACCTCTATAGTCCTTAATGGATAGCAATGTTTGGCGCATTGTTGAAGATAGGACTCAATT